CCGGAGAGAGTTGTAGAGAGGTAGTGAGACTCATAGGATGGGTTTGTGGAGAAGATTGGTACGGAGACAACAGTTTTGGGAATGTATTTAATGGAAACTGGGGAGGGGGAATAAGATTTGGTTTTGGGATGGCAAATGGATAGGAAGGGCAGTCTCAGGAAACAACTTCCGAGGATATACGCTATCACTCAAGGGTAGAATATGGTCGTGGAGGAAATGTTTAGAGGGGGCAATGGTAGAAGGGGGTGGAATATGAATGTGTCAAGAAATCTTAACAATTGGGAGATAGAAGAATATGAGGCAATGCTCCAGCTGTTATCCAATGTGCAATTGAGTGACAATAGGGATAGGTTTGTGTGGAAACTGAAGAAGGATGGGGAGTTCATTATTAAATCTTTTTATAATCATCTGGTCAAGAGGGATGGGGAAGTGGTCAGGTTCCCAGCTAAACAAATTTGGAAAGTGAAGGCACCTCCAGGAATTGCTTTCTTTGCATGGAACGAGAATGTATTCTAACCATTGACAAATTGATGAGGAGTAAAATACTGGTAAATGGTTGCTATATGTGCAAGAAAGCTACTGAATCTTGCAATCATATTATCTTTTGATGTCTTGTGGTGTATAACATTTGGACTATGGTCTATAAATTATTGAGGATTAACTGGGTTATTGCGGGTATTGTTAGAGATGAACTATGAGCTTGGGATGAAATTTTTACAAAGAATAAATTTGTAAAACTTATTTCTTGAATTATTTTTTTGGGTGATGTAGAAAAAGAAGAACAATAGAGCATTTGAATGGTATGAGGGAGAAATGGCCAAAATTAGAGATAGATGGATGAATGCTTTTTGGTTCTTTAATTTTGGGTCATGACATCTATAGGTGTGAGGATTTGAGAATGTCATTGACTTATTGACTAAGATGTAAATATTTTGTAAATGGGTAGTACCTCCTTGGTGCCATATAACATTTCATTCTTTTTATCTCGAAAAAGTAGCAAAAGGTACTTGAACAACTGTATACTTTTTTGTTGGATGGTCAATTGAAAAGCATTTTAATTGTCAGGAATGATATCTTCTCTAAGTGGAGCAACATACATGGTTGGAGAGATGCAATCAAGTTGAACTGGGAATGATAGTTCATCCCTGAGAGAGCTTCCCTCACTTTTGGAGAATTGATAATGGTTTTTAAAAAACTAGGAGCCATTACGACTTAATTGTTGTGACGATTTAAGTTGGTTCTCCAAGTATAGTTAGTAAAGATTACTTTTACTAGGATTCCTAGAAGGACCTTTGGTTTTGATTCCATACAGTATAAAAGTGGGAAATTTTAAACATTAGAAATAGAGAATTAATCTCTCTAGTTCCAGGTTTTCATCCCAGAAAATCAAGCCACTACTTGATTCAATCCCACCTACTGTTCTTTTTTCCGTTTTCAATTATCTCACTCTTTCAATGTATCATATATATCGTAGCATCATCAGTGAGCCAAGTTTTCAATGGGCAACTGAATTGGTAGGTTCTAATAATTAGGTAGTGGGTGAATTTACCTTCTAAAGTTCAGAAAAACATAATTCTCTAAGTTGATGGGACTGATTCATGCAGCTTCAATTCCGAAAGAAGTTTCCAGAAAGTTCAGATTTAATTTACTGTTCTTGTAAATGGTTATCATGCCCTCGGAATTGATCCTAGGGTTGCAGGGGGTCTCTTGGGTAATCTCTGAAAATGTCAACTCGGAATTGATGGCTTGGGAGGGCCTTGGCAGCAGCAATAAATTCACCAGACTCATTCTTCTTACTATATTTTGTGTCATCTGGAAGGAAAGAAACAAACGGGCTTTCGAAGGAGTCGAATATGATCTTAACATCATCAAGGATAACTGGTTTAACTCTTTTGGCTCTTCTATTTTAGGGCATAATCTTGATTGTTTTGATGATTTAGGTAACATTGTAGATATGCTAATCAAGATGTAAATTCTGTACATGGGGGGTGCTCCCTTTGCACCTTTTGATATTAATATTACTCTTATTTTTATTTCAAAAAATGGTTATCATGCCCTCTCTTATCAAATTAGAAGCTCAGGACTCATTCGTAAATGTTTTCAACTCCTATTAAGACACCACTATTATATTAGGAGAGAGAGTCATTCCGTGGCCTAGATTTTGTGTTGAAGTATTACAAGAATTATAAATACCTAATATTGTGAACTTATAACTCTTTAAGATCCTCAAGTATATTATGCTCATCAATAAGATTGTTTTGAAAGCTCTTAATTCATTGTGGATGTATATATGTACTAATGCTTAAAGTTTTGTTGAGGCTCTAAAAGAAGTTATAAACACATTTCATTGTCAGTTTCTTTTATACCATTTCCTTATCTGTTTTGGCAGAAATTGGATTTGTCTTTTACCTTTTCATTCCTTTTAAGCTGCTGTATAACTTTTAAAACTTTTCTTTTCTCTTCATGTCTTTATCCTTTTTGTGAAATATAAAACCTTTCTCTCTGGCCTAGGTTTTAATTGTGGTGAAGCTGCTAACTTTGGAACACCACAGTGGCTTAAAGTAGCTAAGGAAGCTGCTGTTCGAAGAGCTGCTATGAATTATCTTCCTATGCTTTCGCATCAGCAGTTGCTGTATCTCTTGACCATGTCCTTTGTTTCCAGGTCAGCGCTTGTACATTTTATCTCTGTTTTAGTTGACCTTAAATTGCCTAAGAGGATGCTTGAGATTGCCAAAAGAAAGGTGCTTAAAGCAGGAAGGTGTCTTAAGTTGCTTAAAGCATGTAACTTCGTATGTAAAGATAAGCAGTGAAACATTTAGACAAAGTGCTGATTGCAAAAAATAAGCAGTTGTTTTTTTCTTATAAAAAATTACTAAAAACACATATATCTATTCCAATTATGTATATAATTTTAATGTATATAATTTAAATTTTAAGGGTATATCCAGATGATATTAAGTAAAATTAACTAGATAATAAAATAAGAACTTAAAAGGCAGGATTAGGGTGCTTAGTTTCTACCTTCTTACAGTCACTCTTTATGAACCTGATAAACATCTTGGGTTTTTATATTACTAAACAAGAATATTAAAGTAGAATTGCTTGAAGCTATTATAAGCACCAAAAAGTAATTCCAAGCTGTCATGGCTCCTGCATTTCTCCCATATGCAACTTGGACTGTCATGGTTTATATAATAACTCTTTCCTACAATGCCGATTTTATATTGCGTTGAACAAGAGAATTCTGATCTAGCATGTTCACTGATACAATTACCTTCAAGATTTTTTGTGTTCAATTTGGATGGAAGGTGAAGATATTGGCAGCATATGATTTAAGAAACCTGTTTTGAATTGATATTCATGCATGCCAATATGCATATTTTATACTTGGATCTCATGTAAGGGATTTCTATTCTTACAGCTTGTGTTATTTTACATAGCCCATTATTTGTCAAATGAACAGTTTGATTGCATCTGTATTTTATTATTCACTTCATACTGTTGCTTCTACACAAACATTCAAAACCATGTTCTTTATAGTTTTATCCGTAAATACTGCACTTAACTGTATACTTCATTACAGTTTTTTTTTTTTAATTTAAAAAAAGAACTGTATATTTGATCAGCATGACTTTATGTTATTCTGACAAAGTTGGATCGTCTAGTCCATGGTGGTTGGCAAGTTATGCATTGTGAATATAATTTTATCATGTTTTTTAACAGTAGGAGTATGGCTTAATCCCAATGCTAGCAGCCTCAGTGAATTTTTCAGTTGATACTGTTTCACTTGTTTGGCATTCAATAATTAGGTTCTAACTTGAAGGAAAACAACTGGAACTTTAAAAACCAAGTTGGGTACAAAGAGATAAGAAGCTGCTCTTTAGGGTGTGTGTCTTTCTGTTGACTATCTGCCATAAATTCTCAGAATACGCTGCAATAAATTCCAAAAATATTTCTTCCCTTTTGTATTAATAAATATGCAAATCTTTTGATTATTTGTCTTTCTTTTTGTAACACTATATAAAACTTTTTATTTAAAAAAAAAACACTATATGAAACTTCCATGTATAGGTAACTAGTATAAATGTGTAAAGAACCATATGAATCTACAGAAAACATCTCTCTCTGGTTTCACCATCAGTTTCAACCTGGTACAGGCTAAGTCCCACTATCCATTCTCAATAACAGGCCTCTTCTAACTTCTAACTGCTTCCTTGATAGCCCCTAGGAGCCTTGTGTTTTTGAAGTCGTTTTCAGGCTTCACACACGTCCTTTTCTTCTCAAGTGCGCACGCTGTTGGACGATCTTAGGTTTGGATGCAGCGGTGCTTGGAAAAAAGAAAAATATTTGGGAACGTCGACCATGTGAGAGCTGAGAACTCAGCTCCCGACATTGTGGAACAGAGCCACGTGCCAAAGACAACGGAATCAAGCCTGTGTCATGCATAAATATTTCAAACCGGCTAACTATATCACCCATTTGTTGAACAGAGTCGTGTGCTAGAAACGATCAACTGAACCCTCTTTCCCTTGGGTCACGAGTCTATGATTTTCTTGTTGGCCTTGACATAGGATACAACCAAATGCAGATCAAGTTTTTTGTTGAGATCCAGTACCATCACCATGACGGAGCTACTCTTATGTTTAGCAAGAGGAGAATCATAGAAGTGTCATGGTCCATCCAACTAGTGTAGACAAGATAGGATTGGTTGGTGGCGCCACTTGTGAACAACCTACGATCAATAATCAAGGTGTAGAATTATTTTTCTGTATTTTTCCTTTTTCTGTCTTTTACAACTTGGCAATATAACAAAATGATTACTGTCAGGTTGTGCTGTTTTTCCTTTCCATTAGGATAGTTTTGCCTTTTTCTTCCTTCATTTGCCAATGAAATGTTGCTGATTATCGATGAATAAAAGCAGAGTGAGAAGAAAAGAGAAGTTTTTCTTATTCTCAAGTTCTTCATGGTATCAGAGCAAGCCTGATCCAAATTCTTCAGCATCCCTCTTGCATTCAATAGGCAATGGATGAGCAGACCCCTTCTCCGCCCGAAGTTCTTTTGGGCTCTCACCTTCCGGTGCCTGACCGCCATGCTCTGGTTGATCAGGCTCCATCTTTCGTTATTGGCCATCGACTAAATGGCAGTAACTATCTTCAGTGGTCGTCCTCGGTGTTGATGTTCATCCGAGGGAAAAGCCAAGATGAATATCTCACTGGAGAGCTCTCACCTCCTTCCACGAACGATCCAAATGCTTGGATATGGAAAATTGAGAATAATCTTGTTATATCTTGGTTGGTGAACTCAGTGACCACTGAGATTGGCGAAAATTTCCTCATTTATGAGACTGCGCACGATATCTGAGTTGTAGTTCGTGAGTTTTACTCCATTCGTGACAACACTTCTGCCATCTTTGAAATCGAAGCAAACCTTCACAACCTGTGCCAAGAAGAAAAAACAGTAACTCAATATTAAAATTTTCTTACTCGAAAATGGTAGCAACTTGATGTTTTTGAGGAACATGCTTAGACCTGCCCAGAGGATGCCAAAAGATTCTGAAGCATCGTGGAATAGAGACGAATATTCAAGTTTCTTTTCGAATTGAACAAAAACCTCGATGAGGTAAGAGGACGCTTCCTTGGAACCAAACCTCTTCCGAACATCAGAGAGGTGCTCTCGGAGGTGCGACGCGAAGAAAGCAGGAAGAAAGTGATGATGGGTGACTCGCAACTCAACCCTAACCCTACTGAAAGCATATCTCTCTCACCCGAGATTGGTACTGTTCTCACAAGTCGGGTGACTGAGCGAAAGGGACAGCCATGGTGTGAATACTGTAAAAAGCCGGGACTCGTTCGTAGAAGATGCTGGAAACTTCACAGGAAACCAGCTGAGAAGGAATCGGCTGAGAAGAAGAAAACACGAAAGCAGGAAATGGAGGAAATTCATCGGGGCAATTTTATCTCAACAGATGAGGGATCCACTGCAACTATTTCTATTGGAAGCTCCCTATTTAGTCCTGAACAAATCAGCCTCCTCCAAAAATTGTTTTCACTCAATATGGTTCTCAGTAATGCTTCTACAACTCACAAAAGTAATTTTTTTAGTTTCTCAACTTATTCCACAAAAGGATGAATATAAATTATTGACTTAGGTGCTTCCGATCATATGACTGAGGATATCTCATTATTCAAGTAATATAGTAAGTGCAGAAATAAATTCTCAGTTAAAATTGCTGATGGTTCTAATTCCCAAGTCGAAGGAAAATGAATAATTGCACTGACACCCAAGTTAATTTTGTACTATGTGCTATATGTTCCAAATTTGGATTGCAATCTCCTGTCAGTAAGTAAATTATCACAGAACTTGAATTGTGTGGTTATATTTAACTCTAAACTGTGTGAATTTCAGGACTTGGACTCGGGGAAAACGATTGGCAATGCCAGTATGGATTCGGGTCTTTATCTACTGCAAGTTGACAACTCTTCTCTTAATAGACAAACTCATCATGCAGTATGTACTAATTCTGAATCTGTAAACAACTTAAATATGGAATGCCCTATCATGTTATGGCATTACCGTTTAGGACATTCTAACTTCGTTACTTGAAAAAACTATTTCCTACTTTGTTTCGAAATGAAAATCCAACTTCCTTTCAATGTGAAGTATGTCAGCTGTCCAAATATATTCAAAATTCATTTTCCAGTTCTGTTTACAAACCCACAAAACATTTTTCATTAATTCATAGTGATGTATGGGGTCCCTCTCGGGTCATTAATATTATCGGGACAAAATGATTTGTATCTTTTGTTGATGATCACACTAGAATTATCTGGATTTTTCTCATGAAAGAAAAATATGAAGTTGGCCAGATTTTTAAAAAATTTCACATTATGATTTACAATCAATTTCACACCAACATCCAAGTAGTGAGGTCAGACAATGGGTGTGAATACTTTGAAACCACTTTGAGTTAATATTTTTCTGACCATGGCATTATCCATCAAAGTTCCTGTGTCAATACTTCACAACAAAATGGCATAGCTGAACAGAAAAATAGACACATTCTTGAAGTAGTCCGATCAATCATATTCACTACCCACATTTCAAAATTTCTTTGGGGAGAGGCTGTTCTCACCGCTGCACTTGATAAACCGTATGACCTCCCGAACTCTCTCATTTCGAACACCCTATGATATCCTCCTCAGGGTCTTTCCGCAATCTCATATTCTTCATACCATTCCCTATAAAGTTTTTGGTTGTTTCGCCTATGTTCATGTTCATACTCACCTCAGGTGTAAACTTGATCCACGAGTTATTAAATGTGTTTTTGTTGGATATTCATTAATTTCAAAAAGAATACAAATATTTTTGTCCCAAGACCCGTTGTTTCTACAATACTATGGATGTCACTTTTTTTGAAAATCAGTCCTTCTATCCCACTACTGATATTCAGGGGGAGAGTTCTAATCAGGAATATCAAGTATAAGAGATAAGTACACCACCTCTCACATTTTCTCCCCTCACTATTCCCGAGTCTTCATCAAATTTTCCTGAAACCAGTATTAAAGAGTCTGAAACTGAATCTATACCTGTTGCTATCAACAAAGAGTTACATGTCTATAACAGGAGACACAAAACTTCAGTTAATAAAGATTCGGAACTAATTATACATTGCCATGAGTCTATTCCAGTTCCAAGCAGTAAGAACACATCAAGTAATGAGTTTTCAAGCACAATTTTTGATACGGTTATTACTACTAATCATGATACTGAGTTACCTATTGCTTTGCGGAAAGGAACTCGATCTTGTACCAAACACTTTATACAAGATTACATTTCATTCAACAACTTGTTCTCAAAGTATCATGCATATATAAGCAAACTTGATGGCAGCCCCACTGAACATAAAACCATTCATGAAGCCCTTGTATTGCCAATGTGGAGAGGTGCTATTCAAGAAGAGATTAGGGCTCTTGAAAAGAACAAGACTTGGGAACTGATAGAACTTCCACCGGGAAAACAGAAAGTTGGGTGCAAATGGGTATTTACTGTAAAACACAATCCTGATGGAAGTGGGAATCGGTACAAAGCTCGTCTAGTAGCTAGAGGCTTTACTCAACCCTACGGGATAGATTATCAAGAGACATTCGCCCTAGTGGCTAAGCTCAACACTATCCGGATATTACTCTCTATTGCCTCTAATCTTGATTGGCCTCTCTGTCAACTTGATGTAAAGAATGCATTTCTCAATGAAGATTTAGAAGAAGAGGTATATGTGGAAGTTCCTCTAGGCCTCGAGACCATATATAAAACTCACAAGATATGCAAACTCAAAAAGACACTTTATGGTCTAAAACAATCTCTGAGAACTTGGTTTGACAGATTTACCAAAGCAGTTAAACATATGGGCTATGACCAATGTCAGTCTGATCATACTTTTTTTGTCAAGAACAGTGCCTCCAGTAAGAAACCTTTTGTAATTGTCTATGTTGATGATATTATTTTAACAGGTGATAACATAGAGGAAATTCAAAAAACTCAAAAGTTTTCTTGCCATGGAGTTTGAGATAAAAGATCTTGGAGCACTCAGGTATTTTTTGGGAATGGAATTTGCTCGTTCTAAAAAAGGAATATCTGTGTCACAAAAGAAATATGTTTTTGACATGTTGAAAGAAACAGGGATGCTCGGGTATAAATCAGCAGAAACTCCCATGGAAACAACTACAAAAGTTGGATTTAAAAAGGGTAAGCCGGTTGATAAAGAAAGATATCAGAGACTTGTTGGCAAACTAATATATCTTGCTCATACTAGACCTGAGATCAGTTTTACTGTAAGTACTGGAAGTCAATTCATGAACCAATCTACTGATATTCATATGAATATAGTATATTGGATCTTAAGATACTTTAAGAAAACTCCAGGATAAAGACTATTTTTCTAAAAAACAATGAACAGGAATATTGAAATCTAAACAGATGCTGATTGGGCGGGTTCTATAACTGACAGAAGATCTACGTCTGGGTACTGTACTTACGTTTGGGAAAAATTAGTTACTTGGTGGAGTAAGAAACAATCTGTTGTGTCATGAAGTAGCGCAGAAGCTGAATTTCGGTCACTTGCTCATGGAATATGTGAGGGAATTTGGTTAAAAAGAGTTCTAATGAAAATGAAATTCTTGGTTACTACTCCAATGAAAGTATGGTGCGACAATAAAGCAACAATCAATATAGTTAAAAATCCGGTATATCATGATCGAACTAAACACGTGAAAATAGATAGGCACTTCATCAAGGAGAAGATTGAAGATCAGACCATTACAATACTCCACGTTCCTATTAATCAGCAAACTGCAGATATTTTAATAAAGACACTTTTTAAAGGACTCTTCAACAAATTAATATTCAATATAGGCTTACTAAACATTTATGTAACTTAGATTGAGAGGGAGTGTAGAATTATTTTTTTGTATTTTTCCTTTTTCTGTCTTTTACAACCTGGCAATATAATAAGATGGTTACTGTCAGATTGTGCTGTTTTTCCCTTCAATTAGGGAAGTTTGTTAGTTTTTGTCTTTTTCTTCCTTCCTTTGCCTACAAAGTGTTGCTGGTTATCGATGAATAAAAGCAGAGTGAGAAGAAAAGAGAAGTTTTTTTTATTCTCAAGTTCTTCACAAGGATTGTCTGACAAAGATCAAAACTTGACTTGTGATTGTTGTAGTGAACTGTGACATAATAGGGAGAGTTATTGGAAACTTAATGGAAGACTAACTAGAGGTCGTAGAGGTAACTGAAATAAGCCCACACGGGGTGAAGCCAACATATTTGTGACTGTTGAAACACCAATATGAAGAGAAGTCACTAAATTGAAGAGATAATATCCCTAAAATGACTTTTATCATGACTTGATTCTCTATCATTTGCAGTAGTCTCCTCTTAACTTTGCCAAGTCAGGCATGATATTTCTTGCTAAAATTAAAAAAAATGGTGTGTGCATTATAGATTCAGGAGCTTCTGGCCATCTAACAGGCCCTTCAGACAATTTTGAAAAACAAACAACATGTTCAAGTAATGATAAAGTTTGTAGTGTAAACGGGCCTTTATCACTTATCATTGATAAAGGTCTCATCCTTGTACACCTTCCATCATGTTGTATACTGTCCTATATGTTCCTGATTTTCCTAATAACTTCTTGTCTATAACTTCCATTGCAAATGACCTTAACTGTAGAGCTGAATCCTATCCAACTTATTGTGCTTTTCCAGGACTAAAATAGGGAAAACAATTAACTATGGTAGACTGCAAGACAAGCTCTATGTGTTAGTGGAGGGTAACAACTCTTTGATCCTTTCTAGAACCCGAGCTATCGTTGGAAAGTTGATATCTGGTAATCAATGAATTATTCAATTGTATAAAAAAATTAGGTCACTGATCATATTTAGTTTTAGAAAAAATCTGTCCTCATATGTTTAAAAATTGCAATTCGTAGTTGTTGATCTATGATGCATGAGTTTGTAAAACACACAAGCTCTCCTTATCCTATGTCAATGATAAAAGTTATGTTTAATTTATGTCTATTCACTTTAATGTGGCAGGTTCTACTAAAATTGTATCATTATAGTGCTTTGTCATTTTTATTGATTATTGCAGTCAAATTACCTGGGTTTACCTGTTGCATGCTAAAAACAAAGTCTTGTTTAACTCTCCAAAAAATGGTTTGTACACATATCAATGCAAAAGTCACTCGCTCTGACAAAGGCACAGAATAGTGCACTAGGTTAGTTTTGTCAATACTAATACTCAAAATGGGATTGTTGAGAGAAAGAATAGGCACATATTAGAAGTTTCAAGAGCCCACATGTTCTCAAATGTTCCCAAACCTCACTGGACTGCAATCATAAGCGTGGCCCATCTTATTAAATGCCAATGCAAACATTGGGTTTTAAAAGTCCCTTAGAAGTTTTGCTAGGGACTAAGTCCTATACCATCTCTCCTAAAGTCTTCGAGTCTTTTGTTTTGTTATAAGTGAAGTATAGGAAAACGGGACCCCAAGTGTCTCTTTATTGAATATTCTGCTACATAGAAGGGCAATACGTGCTATTAGCTTCCCGTTATGGAAGTACTTTTTAGCATGGATGTCATGTTTTGGGGAATTTTGAATCGTTTTTCTCTTTGCTCCAGTCACTTCTTTAGTGGGAAACTAGAGAAAACAAAGAGGTATTGTCCTCCAACCATGGACTCTCAATCTTTATCCTTATTGATAAGGATTACAACCCTTACAACCCAAACATACTTATAAAAGATGTTAAAAATGCATTTTTGGATGGAGATCTCATTAAGTGTTTGATCAATTCGCTAATGTTTACAATCAATGATAATGTCTCCTAACCATTAAATGGATATGTTCTCTTCCTTCAAGAGATCCTATCACATTTAGATTGGATTTAACAACTTCATCCATATTTAAACGTCGCCATTTGGGGTTATCATATGAAAGGCTATTTATGTGCACAATAATCACAATATAGGCCCATTCCCTTAACTCTGTGTATGCTTCATAGTACTAAGCTTATTGACATAAGAAAAATTTAGTAAGGCGATACAACTCGGCCCAAATGACTGAATTTTGTTCTCTTGCCTGAATAAAATAAATGCCCTTGTGTGTTCTTCCCTTCTTGTATCAGATGATTTGTATTGATTTCAGCAATGAGCATGAATACCTGAGTTTTCATTCAGCTTTCCAACTGTTAACTTATTATGTTGTTTATCTATGTAAACTTCTGCTCTTTTGGTATTTGCATACTTTTTTGTTTTGTTCTGTTACTTTGCCCAATTTGTGTCTAGTATTAAGTGGTCTTCTTTCATTAGTTCTTAAGTTTGATATGCTGGACCTGTTTTGGTGCCAGAGTGCCACGATCATTGCTACCAGGTGCACGGAGTTCTCGCCTGAGAGACCGCCAGAAGGAAAGAAGGGAGTTCTTAGTAAAGAAGGCTTTTATAGAAGATATGTTGAATGAAAACAAGATGTTAACTATTCTTCTTGGAAGAGAAGCTGCTTATCGTACGGTATTGTGGGACCCTGATCTACTTCCTTGTCAAAGTAAGGAGTCTCGGATGGCCAGTGTGACTGCTGCTGCTTCTTGTGCACTGGCAGAAAATTTTTCCTACATTCACTCTGAAACAAATAGCAACACCAAACAGAATAACCTTTTAGAGGAAATGAACTTGTATATGAGAACCTTGAATGATTTATATCTTAATGATGATGATTTGTTAAGCGATTTTCAAGTTGATTCTGGACCGCTGGCATGTGTGGCTTGTGGCATTCTTGGTTTTCCATTTATGTCTGTGGTACAACCTTCTGAGAAAACAGTAACGCAACTTCCAGCATATCATACTTTGGTTCAAGAAAAACCTGTAGCTTCAGAACATAATAACCCTCATTCTCATCCAGATGTTGCTTCCATCATGAAGGAATCTACTTCAGGTAATATATTCTAACTATCTACCTATGTTATAACCTTCCTAATTCATTTTTTTCTTCTTCCTTATTATGTCATGCTTCAGCTATTTTCATTGTCATTCGGGCTATAGATACTATGACAAACATGATGCTTGTATCATCAGGGATGCCTCTGATTGGAGAAAGGTTAATTACTCTGACGCTATTTCAAAATAATATCCAAAATCTTTTTCTCTAAGTCGCAGTACTTTTTTCTAGTCTCATCTGAGGGTTGCTGCAAGAAGCTTCAAATGTTTTAAGCCTTTGTAGAAGTTGCTCTCTTCCATTAGTACATCACCTGTACAATTTGTTGGGCATGTTGTCTGCTGCCCAATCAAAGAAAATTTTGGGGAAAATCACTATGATCTTAAAACTAATTTCTGAAAATCAAAGTCACTATCCTTTTATATCTTTCTATCTTCATTTTTATATTTTGAGGTTCATGGCTATGATCATGTGGACATAATACAGCTCTTCATCTTCTGGATGGTTTGGAAGAAGAGGAATAGGAAGGTTTTTGATGGGGTTGAGGATGTAAATAGTTTTGATATCCTTAAGAATAGATGGTTCTAAATTCTTGTTTTTTGATTACAGGATCATCCTCTTTGTTCTATAGAGGATTTAGCGGAATTTGTTGATACATTGATTGATTTGTAAATTTTGTACATGGGTAGTACCTCCTTGTTGCCTATATTAATACAAATTCACACTTTATATTTCAAAAATTTTTGAGGTATATGGCTGTATTATAGCTATAGTCATTGCTATTCTTATCTGCATGCTGCATATTTTTATATTTTGAGTGCTAAACTAAGCAGAAATTATTCTAGATAGTTACTTGCAGTTTTATTTATCTTGAATTTGCATCTATGGGCTATGATCACCGTCATTACCTTGTTTTGATGTCTAAACAAGAAGATGAGAACATAATTATCCATGAAAGGGAAGTGCATTTGTCAAGGAATTCTAATTTCTGGCTGTACAAGAGCTGCATCTTTTTAGTAGTAGAGTCCTCTGTTTATACTAATTTTCTCTAATTTTCTTTTTGGTCAATGTTTATCCATAAGAATTTGACAGACTAAAATTATGCTTCTATCTACAGGAGATATTTTTTCTGAAATTTCTTTGTCCAAAAAGGAAATGTTAACACCCTCATTTATGGAGTTTAAAAACGGGTGGAATAATTCTTGTAAATATCTAAGGCCTCGAGTTTTTTGCCTGGAGCACGCACTTCAAATTGAGGAGTTGTTGCAGTCAAAAGGTGGAGCTAGTGTTCTTGTAATTTGCCATAGAGGTGAGATATGGTTCATATCTGTGTATCATTTTGGCCAGCACCTATCTATGCAGTAGTTGCCAGGGGTGCCCGTGCCCTTTGATAATGTACCTTTCATCCATTTAAACCTGCTCTTAATTTTGTCTCCTTTAGCATGGACCTAATTACTAATCAGAATATATTTACGTTCTGTCTTTTTCTTAAAGTACTTCTTATGTAGCTAATTACTTGTAAAGATCAAGTTATTTTCTTTTCCCTGTGGACTTATGTTCCCCAGGAATGGGGAAGGTTTTATTCCATGATATTAAATATTGATCAAACTTGTGAGAATCAACCAGGCAGTTGACTCGAGTCCTTTCTGTGTATCTATGATACTATCCATGTTCTTTTTCAATAGATTATGATCACAGTCTTGCTTTATCTCACCTTGGAGTTCCTTCTGACTCCTAAATTCTCCAGTCTTCTCCTTGTTTCTTGTTTGGGCTATGATCTGCTAGTTCTGAATTGATCCCCTTTTTCTTTTGTATCACATACAGACTATCAGAAGATGAAGGCTCATGCTACAGCAGTTGCGGAGGAAATTGGTTGTTCTTTTAATTATAATGATGTTCCATCAGAGTCTGCATCACATGAAGAACTTGATTTGATTAATCTTGCCATTGATGATGAAGAACATGATGAATGTGGAGAAGACTGGACATCAAAACTGGACATCAACTTACGATGGTGTGTGAAGGCAAGGAAGAACTCCCTTTCTAAGCAAGTTCATCACGCGCTGGCATTAGGTGGACTATTCTTGGATAAAAATCCCAATTCAGATTTCTCTAACATTAAATGGCAATCCAGAAGATCACGCTCAAAAGTTAGGTTGAATCATTCATCCCAATGTGAACCATGTGAAGGCCTTGAAGTAAAAAAAGATGAACAATCAGGGGGAAAATCAGATGATGTGATTGTCAGAAAGAAAGAAACACTTATTCAATATTCAAGGAGGAGTAAGTTTAAATCAGGCTGTTCTAGGGAAGCAAATAGGGTTCAGGATTGCCCTAGAAAACAAACCGCAGAAGAAGTTTCAGATCCTATATGTGGAAATTTTGTTAATCTTAGTAAAAATATCTCGGAAAGTAGCCTTTCCAATGATGGCCATAGCAGAAGCAGTTCTGGAATGGGCTTCTCTCCTAGCAAAATGCCTTTGATGAAACATGAAAAAGCTCAGGTTGAACAAAACATAGGAATGCAGTTAAATTCTTTTCTTTTACGAGATGCAGAATCACTTGCCACTACTTCAGAGTTTGTAAGTCGTGGACAGATTGAGAGTGAACCACTGGAGGTGCTGAACATGGAGAGACAACCTTGTAACTTAGCAATTGGTGATGGTTCTGGGGTGAACCATGAGGTTAAGGTCAGTCAGGGAACCAATGCAAAAACTGCAAACTTTTGTACTGAGGAATGTTCTGGCGAGCATGTCATTCCAGGTTGTGCTAGATTTGAAATGAAACATAAAGATCACATTGTGGTAAATAATGCCTGGCTGACAATGCCCTGTCAACTTGTTTCTGTATCAGGTGATGGGGGAGACATGTTGATGGACGAGGTTTCTGACAAAGTTAAATTAGCCGCTTTAGAGAGTGCTGTTCTGCCACCAGAAAATTTTGAACCGGGGATAGAGGGAATAGTTGTTGACATGGACAATGAGGCTTTTAATCATGTGATTTCTGTTAACGAGGTCCAGCTTGAAATTCCAGCTGGCTACACAAGTAAAGTTGAGGAACCAAACTCAACAGATCATGCATCAATTAGTCAGACAACACCTGCCTCAATAGGAGAGAATTGTGAAGGTACAGGAGAGATCTGTACTGAAGAAAACTTCTGCTGTAGTGTTTCTGTAGAAAATAACCTGCAGCTGACTTCTGATACAAGTAAAGAACATTCGATTTTTGATGTTGATACACTGATAAATGGACCTTCTACCCCACTGAAGGAGAGTTCAGAAGTTCCAAGGGAGATTTGTGCAAATTTGTGCAAGGAGGTGACTTTGGAGAATAAAGTGCATCAGTGGGGCATTCAGAATACACATGAAGGTGTGGTGGAGCTTGTCTCGAGTTCTGTTACACAAATGGAAGTAGATCATCCTACTCTTTTGAAAGAACATTCTGATGTATCCAGAGGGACGGGTGCTAAACTGGCTTCAGATGCTAAATTGCAGGTAGGTACCCAGACTTCATGTACCTCCAATTCCATTCTGCAAATGGCAGAAAGTCAACAAATTCCTGTATCTGTGAAAACATGTTCTAATGTCCCAAGAGGGACACTTGTCAGCAAAGAGTTAAGCAGTGATATTACAATAGAGAGTGAAAGACAAGAAAATAACCAGAATGTGAAAATTAGTAATGAGGTACACGTTTCTTGCTCCGCAACACCTATATATCAGCCCATTCTTCCCCCAGTCCATGAAAGTTCCGAAGGTCAAAGTGGGGTCCGTAATGTGGCAAGCTTGCACGATGGAAATGAAGGTTGTGAGGCGGAGAATATTGAATCTTCCACGGTAGATCCCAATTCAAATAGAGGAAAAGAAAGAAAACGAAAAAGAGGAGAGGAACAAAAAGCAGAAAACAAATTAGAAAATAACATTTTTATCAGGAGTCCATGTGAAGGCCTGAGGCCAAGGAATAGGAAAGATGAAACAAGTGGAAGTGGGATTGATTCCAGCAAAAAAGTCAAGGAGAAGGTGGCAAGAAGAAAGACAGAAGAATGTTCAAAAGTTGAAGATCCTTGTGGAGGCAAGAAAGAAATTTTGAAGGACCGTCATAGGTGTGATTTAGAAGGATGCCGGATGAGTTTTGAGACAAAAGAGGCGTTGAGGGTGCACAAGCGGAACTGTTGCCCATATGAAGGTTGTGGAAAGAAGTTCAGTTCTCACAAATATGCTGTTCTTCATCAACGTGTACATGATGATGAAAGACCACTAAAGTGTACGTGGAAGGGTTGTTTGATGACATTTAAATGGGCTTGGGCTAGGACTGAGCATATGCGTTTGCACACTGGGGAGCGGCCATACAAGTGCCCAGTTGAGGGCTGTGGTCTTTCATTTAGGTTTGTGTCAGATTTTAGCCGCCATAGACGAAAAACGGGTCACCGGGTGAACTCACCTGCCTGAAGATTTGTTCTAGTTGGCAGATTGCTTGTGCAATATATAAATGCAGGGGGGGAATGGAGATCTAGGGGGCCAAAAGGAGGCCTGTAGGATTTACAGATACCCTATCACTGTTTATGAGTAGTAGGTGGAGGTTAGGGTTAAAACTTATCCTTTTCTGTAGGTGTATTATCCAATTAATAGAATTCAATGATAGTTGGAAATACCCATTTTGAGGGTTTTGTTCTTCAATCTGGATTCTTGTGTAGTCAATGGGACCTAGCAACAGTGGCAGTCATGGTGCGGGAAAGAAGCTCACCATTGTCACCTTGTTTGTTGGTGGGTCTGATTTTTGTGCTGCTGCTGCTGTTGATGATGATGAGGATGATGATCTCTTGGTTTTTTTCAAATGTTCTGGTTAGTTTGATGTAGAAGAGGCGTCTGGTAGAGATGTAAATTGTGGTAGAGAGACATTGAGTTCTAAAATCTGGTCATGGTGTTCTTTTTTTCTCTTTATGGTTTGACATTTCTTGTCAACTTACACAGCAATAATAATAGTGAAAAGTGAAAACATTTATTATGAGCGTTGAAAAACCTTTTTACTCATTCTGACTTTTCTGCTTATTCAATTTAATCATAATGTTTCTAATTGTTGATTAACTAAGGTTATCTCTAGAATAAATTCAGATATTATCCAACAAAACACTTTTTTCTGGTGCTTACAATTTATATAACCTGTTTGAATCTGAATAAGTGCTTACTCGTACGTTAGTAAATAAATATGTACTTCTGAAGTTTGGATTTTTTAACCAATTCTACAGAAAAAATTAGACTCAAAATATTCAAAGGCCAAAATTACCCCTTACATTTTTAGAAAATCTCTACATAGTCTCCCTCTCCCATCGTGTAGAAGAGAGATGAGAAGCCCTTGAGCCCTCATTTGTTTCCCATCATCAACAGTCACCCAAAATCAACAATTCCTACTGCACTCAAAAATGGCAGCCGCAGCACCTCCTCCTCCGCCAACCGCCACACCGGACCCAACATGGTGCCGGATAAGCGCCAGTCGGCCACCCT